TTCTCCACTGCTCTCAGGAGTCCAAAAAACAGCTCCGGTCAGCTCCACATGTCAAGGCTTTTTCTAGGGTTGTAGCAGCCCCATCCCCTCCCCAGAATTTTGGAGAATAATTTGGATGTATAAGTCCACAGCATTTTGTACTGATATCTCTTGTGATCAATAACTGCCTCCCTCACTAACCCCTGAGCTCCATGAGAGCAGGGAAGGGAGATGTCAAAACTGTCAAAGATCATAACATTATTTTTTAAAAATATTTTTTCTTTATTGATTTTTAGACAGAGGGGAAGGGAGAGGTAGAAATAGAAACATGGATGAGAGAGAACATCAATTGGCCGCCACCTGCATGCCCCCCACTGGGGATTTGGCCCACAACCTGGGCATGTGTCCTGACCGGGAATCCAACCAGCAACCTCTTGGTGCATGGGTTGATGCTCAACCACTGAGCCAAACCGGCCAGGCAGATCAGAGCCTTATTAAAAAGGAGAAGTATCCAGTTCATAAGAAGCACCTTGGTTATGGCTGCTTCTGCCCAGGGTCCGACCCAAATAGGACAAGAGAGAGGGATAACATGATCTGTGGTCTGGGGTCTCTGGACACTATGTGGGGTGTCAGGTTCTCCCAGGTGGGGGGGTTCCAGCAGCCTTCGACCCATCCCTAATATGACTTTAACAGGGCTTCTGAACTCAAGAACAGTTCCAACACAAGAACTCAGTAGCAACTTCATTTCCATGGTTCAGTAACACCCCTCCTACTCTTTTTTGAATCCCAATCTTACCCAATTCAGTCCATCTAGGTTGAAGAGGTTCCAGGACACCAAGAGGGTTCCTATGTAAATTAGGGTTCATGAGAGAATGTGATGCAACCATTAAAAACCACATCTGCCCTGGCCGGTTTGGCTCAGAGGTTAGAGCATCGGCCTGTGGTCCAGAGAGACCCGGGTTCAGTTCCCGCTAAAGGCGCGTACCTCGGTTGCAGTTTGTCCCCAGCCACTCGATGTGTCCCTTTCATGTCGATGTTTCTCTCTCTCTTCCTCTCTCTCCCTTCCACTCTATCTGAACAAAAAATGTCCTTGGGTGAGGATAAAAAAAACAACACATCTGTTCCTTGGCTGGTATGGCTCAGTGGTTGGAGCGTTGGCCCACAGACCAAAGGGTCACAGGTTCAATTCCCAGTCAAGGGCACATACCTGGGTTGCAGGTTCCATCCTCACATTCGGGAGGAAACCAATTGATGTATCTCTCTCACATCAATGTTTCTCTCTCTCTCTCTCTCTCTCTCTCTCTCTCTCTCTCTCTCTCTCCTTTCCCTCCTTCCCTTCCACTCTCTCTGAAAATCAATGGAAAAAATATCTTTGTGAGGATTAACAAACAAACAAAAAGAAAACCCACACCTGTGCTGAGTGTAAAGACACAGGAAAAGGCTTATAATGGCAGATGCAAAAGAGCAGTCTTTCATAGACAAAAATAAGTCCTAAGCAGGTTAAAAAGGCAGAGAGATTCCCTCCTTAATTATGTATATTAGAAACAGCAACACTGTTGTTCTCCAGAGCAACAGTGAGATCTTGCTTCCCAGCACGTGATCAGTTTGGTCCAAACTCCTTTAAAAAATTAAAAAGCAAAAAGGAAAGGATGAAAGGCAGTGTCTAAACATTACAGTAGTATTTCTGAGAAGCAGGGTTATTTTTAATTTCCTTTTGCTATGAATGGAGACTTCTATTAAGAGTCCCCCAGAATCTCCCAGAACAAGCCATAAGACTATATGGCTCATTGTCCTAAATAGGGCACTTTTCAGAGTAAAAAGGGACACTGGGCTAATAGTCAGTCATACCAGAACTTGGCCAGGAAAATCAGGACTTGTGGCCACTCTACCAAACCAATCCCAGCTGCACCTCCACTCCCCGCCCCCTCCTATCCCCTGTGGGTTTTATGGCCTAAAATGACACAGCCATAATGTGGTGGAGCAGAGATCCATGCTTGCTGTGTTCTCTACTCTTAGTCACTTTGACAGAGAATTTATTCTGACCGTTACTCCACAATGCTTTGCAAATTAAGCACTAACTAGTTAACCTCTATCACATTAAGGGGGAAACTGTGCAGATTTCTATCTTACTTAATGGGAAAAGGCTGGGTCTGTGTCACCCTAAAATATGTTGAATGTTGTTTAGGACTACGGCTCAGGGGACCCTGAGCAAACAGCCCAGCTGGTGAGCCAAATGAAGTTATTGATCTGAAACAGGACTGAGAATCGGAAGGAGGTGGGGCTATTTCCTTGGCCAGGACACTTTAGCCATCCTGGAGACAGCAAAAAGGGCATGAGAGCATGAAGAGAGCAAACAGGCTGAGGGATTCTGTTTTAGGCGCAGAAATGGGTCATTTATCTTATTAAATTCTACAATTCACCAAAAAAGCGGAGTTAATTGCCATTTTATCATTAAAGGATCTAGGGCTCAGGGAGGTGAGGTGACTGGCCTCAGAATTCCAGGCTGATTCGGGGATTGGACCAATGCTTGGACCAAGAGAGAAGCTGACCTTGCCAATCTTGAATAGGAATAGAGTAGGAATTCAACTAATGTGCTTAGGAATACACAGATAGACATAAGCCAGCTGGCTGGCTAGGTGGATGGGTGACAGATGGGTGGATGGATAGGTGGATAGATGAATGCATAATGGTAGGTAGTTGCCCAACTAGGTCTTGAATGAAACCCACCATTACTGGATCTGATCAAACCTTAATCCCTTAGAAAGGAAGTTTCCTTTTCATCTCTCCGTGAAGCTGGTCCCCCACTCAGGTTCCATACTCCTGTGAAAAGGAAACAAGCTCTGAAAGACTTCTTTAGATCCCTCTGATTTTCATATCATCATCAGTTTCCTGATCCAGAAACCCAGCTCTCATATACTTCCTCTCCCTCCCATCCTCCCCATCACCAGTTCTACTGCCCAAGTTTGTCTCTGGGATGTATCCTTGCCTCTCCATCCCTTCTGTTCCCACCTTGGTTCAGACCTCATCATCTCTCAGCCTCTTAACTGGTCTCTCTGCTTCCGGACTCATTCCCTATGGCACATCCCAACCCCACCCCACCCCAGAGGGACCATTCTAAAGTGCAGACAGGCCCTTCTTAGTCTGGCAAGTGGCTCCACATTGTGTTAGACTTCACATCCAGGATCCACGGTTGGGCATTGGAGACACTCCAAGAGTCCACACTACACAGCCTCTCCAGGTTTGTCTCCTGTTCCTTCCTCCGTTACATACTCCCTCTCCTTCCAAGACACAAAAACCCACAGACACCCAGATACATGGCAAGGCCACAGGATGTTTGGGTCACTCCCTGGGGAATCCTGTCAGGTCAAGAATGAGGGGAAGGGACTGGAGCCACAGAGTCCTGAGGGGCTTCAGGGTCTCTGCCTGGGGGTGGAGGATATGTCTGTGGTCTCACTTGGTCTGGGTGGTGGTTCAGGCATCTGTTGGGGGGAGGGGAGAGCCTGACTACAGACTCCTCCCCTTGCAGAGTTGACGATTAGCAATTAACTGGAGGGGTGAAGTTAATGGGGGAACAGAGGGAGGGCAGCTAGGGTACTAGGGACTTTGCCCTTGACCGAAGGGTATAAAGTGGAGGGTCCCAGCTTGTCTTCAGGCCCTTGGGACTTTCCTGAGCAACTGAGCAAGAGCTGAAATACAGAATCCCAAGGTGAGCCCAAGGCCCCCTCATCCCAACCTCATCTCCAACTTTTAGTAAGAAACAGTTCATTACCCCAGCTCCCTCACCTGTGTCCTAACTGTGCCCCACCCCTTTTTTGGTACGTGCCCCTAGTGAGAACCAAACCCGGGACTCTGGTCCGATGGCCAGGCCATCGCTCCAACCACTGAGCCAAACCGGCCAGGGCTGTGCCTCCTTTTCCTGCCACCATAACATCTCAGTACCAGCCTAGCCTAGCTCACTCCGCAAAGTAAAAAGGACTGTGCTCTTCCAGGACTGGGAGTCAACTCAGCACACTCTGCCATCCTACAGCAAGGCCCCTTGGGACAATGTTAGGGATGAGAGTGGAGGGGTTGCTGAAACAGACTGGGGCACTCCCACCCCAACAGCCAAGAATTCCTGGGGCAGTTCAGGGGACAGTGTGGGGGGTGCCTAAAGCAAGCTTGGACTTCCCAGACTAGGAGACAGGGTGGGGGTCCTCCTTACCTAAACTAATTCTGGTCTGAGCCTCACTGAGGGAGAAAGGTAACAAGATTTGTTTATTTTTGAGGAGGTGGGGAGTAGGAAATGGGTGGGGAAAGAAGTTCCCTTGTGAGGAGAACCCAGGCCAGTGGACCCTCCCCTGAGTGCTTGCCCAGCTGGTCCCACCATCTTTATCTCAAGCAGGTGTCCATGGTTCCTCACCGCTCTCAGGACAAGCAAAACTCCTGTGCAGTCCATCCCTGGCCCATCCCTGCTAACATGTTTCCTGGCCCCCTCCAGCTGCAGGGTGTTCTCAGCTCCTCCTCCCACATGCCCTCCCCCTTCTCCTATGAAAGCCTACTGACGGTTTCTCTCAGCTTGATCCCCTTTTCCCTCCCCCAAGGGCCCACCATGGCACTCTGGTGCACCCATGTCTGTCATTAGAACACTTGTTCCCATTGCCATTTTCCATCTATTTGAGGGACTATTTTATTGACACATGTCTCCCCACTATACTTTGAGCTTCCTGGGGCAGGCGCTGTGTCTGTATTTAGTCACCACTGTACCCCAACATCTAGCTTAGTGCCTAGGATATAATAGATGCTCAATAAATACTTGCTGAATGAATGAATGAGTGAATGCCCGAATCTGTGCTGAGCACCTGGGTGTGCATCCCTGGGTGTGGGTGTGGGTGTGGGTGGGGGGTGTTTCTATGGGTGTGTATTTGGGAATCACATATAAATGTTTGTGCAAGTGAGTGTGTTGGTGTGGGAGGCGGATGTGTGAGTGTGCAGGACACAGCAGTTGTCATTCAGTGTTGCTGCAGACACTACAGCGTGTGCCCAGGATGATGTCCTACGGAGAGAGGCTGGGTGGCCCTGCTGTCTCTCCACTCCCAGTCCGCAGGGGGCACATGATGCATGGGGCGACCTTTGCCTATGTGCCCAGCCCTCAGGGTGAGTGTGCTCCCACTCCCAGACCCTGTTTGCCCATAGCTACCCACATCCCCGGTGAGGTCTCCACCCCTCCACCCGCCCTTCCTACCCTCCCTGGGACCTGGGGCCTCTGGGAACTCCTGATCAGCCTCCCTCCCCAGTCCTGCACAGGATCCCAGGGACCTCCACCTATGCCTTCCCCAGCCTGGGCTCTGTGGCCCTCACCGAGCACAGCTGCCCCTTTGGGGAGGTTCTGGAGCTCCATGACCCGCTGCCTGCCAAGCTGACCCCAGAGGAGGAGCAGAAGCCAGGTGGGCCTGAGTGGAGGTGGCAGGGAAATTAGCCGTCACTGCCCCAGCCCTCTGACTGCTGTGCTCATGGTTATCCCATCTCCAGAGCCAAGGCTGGCCCAGAAGCTGCGCCGGGCTGGTGTGATGCTCCTCAAGGTGCCACTGATACTCACTTTCCTCTACCTCTTTGTCTGCTCCCTGGACGTGCTCAGTTCAGCCTTCCAGCTGGCTGGAGGTAGGGCCAGGGGATGGGACTGGGGAAAGGTCCCTGAAGGGCCTTGAACAATTGTGACTCATGCTTCCCAGGAAAGGTGGCTGGCGATATCTTCAAAGACAATGCCATCCTGTCCAACCCAGTGGCAGGGCTGGTGGTGGGCATCCTGGTGACCGTGCTGGTACAGAGCTCCAGCACCTCCACATCCATCATTGTCAGCATGGTCTCCTCTGGCTGTGAGTTGGTCCACCAGGGCCAGAGAAAAAGTGTAGAAAGCTGGGTGTGCTGGACAAGGGCTAGGGGTGGAGCACGTCAGGGATGATGGGCAAGAGGCAGGAGTGGGAGCAGAAAGCTGAGGGCTGAGAGCAGAGCTCTGGCATCTCCCACTCTGTCCTTCAAGGCCTGGCCAGGAGTCTCAGTCAAGAGGGATGCCCTAGGAGCTAGAAGAGTAGCAAATGGGGGGCACAACCTCAGGAAGGTTCACCTCCATAACACCACACAGTTCCTTATTCCATCAGTCAGGGAAAAAAAATCAGAGAAGTCAGAGAGATGGTACCTGTAGAAGATATACATATGATGTATTGCAGGGAATTGGCTTACAGGATTATGAGGCCGGCTGGGCACACTCAAAGCTGGTGTGCAGGCCACTGGGAAGGGCAGGCTGGAACTCTTGGGCAGAAGCCCATGCTGCAGTGCACAGGTGGAATTTCCTCTTCCTCAGGGAAGCCTCAGCTGCGCTCTGAGGCCTTTGATCTCATTGGATAAGGGCCACCCAGATCACTGAGGTTTATCTCCTTTGTTTAAGGTCAACTGATTGTAGACAAAACACCTTCACATCAACATATAGATTAACGTTGGATTGAATAACTGGGTACCATATCCTAGCCAAGCTGACACATGACGCTGATCATCACACTCATGTACACATACCAAGTCTAATTGATTAGTAATGCCATGTACATATTTGCATACAGGACACATGCCCTCATATACGCACACCTCTACATACATTCATGTATGTGCACATGCAGTACATGTGCATTGGTTCACATACATGTAAACACACAGCATGTGCCCACATGTATCTGTCACACTGAGGCTGAGCGGAGTCAGCAGCATGGCAGGAATGCCCACTAGTGGTCAGAACATGGGTAGTGGGTCTGGCAGGAGGTGTTGTAGGAGCAGGAGCTGGGAGGACCTTACCCATTTAGTTAAAAGGTCCTCTCTTCTCCCAGTGTTGGAGGTGAGCTCTGCCATCCCCATCATCATGGGATCCAACATTGGTACCTCCGTCACCAACACCATTGTGGCCCTGATGCAGGCAGGGGACAGGACTGACTTCCGGCGGTAAGGGGGTAGAGTGGTGATGGGCCTGTGTTTGTTGGGGGAGGGTGGTCCCAGGTGCCAGGAGCCCCAGAATGAGCGTATTTAGGCTCTGGCCTACCTTGCAACATCATCTCCCTGCCCAGGGCCTTCGCGGGGGCCACTGTGCACGACTGCTTTAACTGGCTGTCAGTTCTGGTCCTGCTGCCCTTGGAGGCTGCCACTGGGTACCTGTACCATGTCGCTCGACTTGTGGTGGCCTCCTTCAACATCCGAGGTGGCCAAGATGCCCCTGACCTGCTTAAGATCATTACGGAGCCCTTCACTAAGCTCATCATCCAGGTGGGGGCAGGGCTGGCAGGGGGTGGAGGGGGTGGAGGAGCTGGGTGAGCCCCACACTCACTCCCCCTGCCCACTTCTTGCCCCCAGTTGGACAAGTCCGTGATTACTGGCATTGCCATGGGTGACGAGTCCCTGAGGAACCACAGTCTCATCAGGACCTGGTGCCACCCAGACCCCATGGAGGTGAGTCTCAGGTCTGGCTCCAGGTGAGAGAACTCCCTCTTCAGACAGCTAACTGTTAGTATCATTATCTTTTTTAAATGCTCCAGGTAGACCCTAGAGACCATTAGCCTAGAGAGGGCAACTACGTAGCATGTTTACTGTGAGGCTGTGCCTACGGAAGATGTTGTTCATCTCTCCCAGCTTCACACTGGCTTTCGGCAGCCATTACTAATCAATTAGCATTGGCATGTAATCAGTTGTCATGTCCAACCCCATGGCGGGGCTGATGGAGGGCATCCTGATAACCGTGCTGGTACAGAGCTCCAGCACTTCCACATCCACCATTGTCAGCATGGTCTCCTCTGGCTGTGAGTTGGCCCACCAGTGGTTCTCAAAGTGTGGACCCATGGCACCCATACCACCCTGGGAACTTGTTAGAGATGCAAAGTATTCAGCCCTTTCTCTTCACCTACTAAATCAGAAAAAACTCAGGGGTAGGGCCCAGTAGCCTAATTTCAACAAGTCCTCTCGATCTGCTCCATGCTCAAGTTTAAGAACCACTGATCTGGCTCAACCCTCTGGTTTCACAAGTAGAGCAATAGGCTCCAAGAAGCTAAGAAACTTGCTGGAGCTTGTCCTGCCATGTCAGGGCCTCTCTCTTCCCCACTGGGTTACAAGGGTTTACTGTACCAAGTTTTGGGGCCCAGGTTATGTGGGGAGAAGGCAGGGAGAGAGTGCTATAAGGGTGCCAGAAAGCAAGATAAACAAGATACTGGCCCAGAAACAGGACAAGTGGGCCATGTGGAGACCTTACTGGAGATACAACAGCCCCTTGTGCCAACATCAGGGCTCCTCTCCTGGAGACTCACACAAGCATGTGTCCCTTTGTCCTTCTGCACTATTTCTGCTGCTTGCTGGCTTCAATGGCCTAAAATGAAGATCTCTTTGGATGAGTTGAACACTCATGGACTGGCCATTACACCAAGCCAACAAGGAAATAGGCAATTAACACACTTTCTCACTCAGCCGAAAATGTGAAAATATGTCATCAAAACCATAATCCTCAGTACCCACTTCCCCTTGGTTATTACATACAAGAAGTAACTCCATTTAGAATAAGATAGAAAGAAATTCAAAACCCAAGCCTTTCCCCCTCGTCATCTCCTTTTGCTACTTGATGTCACCAAGGCCTTTATCCCGATGTGAACAGAGAGCAACCTTTCAACCTGCCCTGAGAGATTCCCTGGCATCTGAATGGCATACAGCTCCAGCTCAGCCCTGCTGAGTGTCCAAGGCAGTTTGACATAAAAAAGCCCATGCAGGCAGCTTTCATGCTGGCTTTATGACCTCTCTAACAACCTCCACCTCTCACCAGCTTATGGGGCCCTCCCCAAGCCCTCCGAATCATTACAATCCTCTCTACTTCTTAGCAAACCTGGAGGGAGAGAAATCACACACTTTTATCTTTACAATAAAATAAGCCGTGGAAGGGAACTACTTGTGCCCACCTGCATCCAGCAGGTCCCCCTGTAGCAAGTGCCACTGAACATAGCCCTCCCCTGATGACATCTTCACACAGTGCTGGTGAGGTGGACATGAGCATCCCACTTTTCACAAAAGGAACCAGAGATTCAGAGACATGAAACAACCTGCACAAGGTCACTTGTCTGGGGCTGTCTTCACTGCTCCTGTTGCCACCTGCCTGAACATTGGTTTCTTGTCCCAGCTCTTCCAGGAGACCCTTTAAGAGTGTTTGCTTGGCTTGGAGAGTAACTGGGTGGTGGGATCTTAGCTCCCTGTTCTTTCTTTCTCTCTGGGACAGTGCCCATGGGAATGTGGCTCATGCAGCCATGGGCTCACTCTCAGAAGGTGATGTGTGTTAGCAGCTCCTCCTACACCAAAGACTCAAGTTTTGCTTTGGCCACCAAGTCTCCCTATGCTCCCTTCCAACCTGTCCCTGTTGCCTCCAGCTTTCATCAAGCTGGACCCAAACTCGCCCAAACCAGTCTCCAGGGAACCATGTCACCAAGGAGAGAATTGAGAGTCTGAGGTTGTCCAGATGGCAAAAGAAAAACTCGAGGCAGTTTCAGTGTTTCGACACCTCTTGGCACTTTGGGGGCCTGACACTGTCCTGAGAATTACCTTCGTGTGTGGTCACATTGCGGATTGTCAAGCAGGCCTGCCTGGCTCCAACATGCATTTTTTGAGGACTTGCAACCTAAGAAGCAGGGATTATTACGTCCCCATTTTACAGATGAGGAAATTGAGGCTTAGAGAGGTTTGCCCAAGTCTATGCAATTGAAGTAGGACTAAAATCCTGGTGAAATTTGGAGCTTGCGTACCTGAATGTTCATGTCACAGCCTCTTCTAGATGTCAGTCTGGTGCCCCACTATGCGTGTCCATTCTTCACTCTGCGCTTCATACCTGAATGCCACCCAGATGACTCTCCAGGGGTGATAGGTGATGCTCTAAGGAATTCTCCTCTTTGCCACCAGATGGCGCTGCGGACATGGTGATCTCCTGCTTTCAGAAACAAAGACCCTAAGCTCCTCTTCCGCTGGAGGGGAAACGATTGGGCAGGCACAGGGAAAGGATTCTTGGATCCTGACATTCTTTTGTGAACTTAATCATCTCCTTCAGTTCCCAGAGGTGTCTCCTTAATTTGGGATGGCTCTTCAGGCATTTGAATCCCAACTTTCTCTTCCAAGATTCCTCACAACTAGCCCCTGGGGAGAGGTGGGCAGCATAATGGACCTCATGCTGCAGAGGAAAAAATTGAGGCCCTATGAGGTTATGTGTTTGGTCCAGTGTCACACAGCTTGAAGTAGCTTAGCTGGGGTTTGAGCCCATGGCTGTCTGAGCTCATCTGTTCTGTTCTTCCCACAGAGTTCATCACCCCCACCGCATCCCCTTCCCACTCCACCCCATTCCACCACACCTCCAGGCCCAGGAAAGATGGGGGTATACCCCAGACCCTGAGCTTGCTAGCTCATTATCTAGATGGGAGCTTCCACCTTCTCCCTCCTTCTCTTTACAGTCTCTGGATTCCCCCTGAGAGCTCAGCCAGGGCCACACAATCCCAGGCAAGAAGGTCAAGGTTCCAAAACCCCAGAGGTCTTGGCCCTTGCCCTTGTTCTAACCCAACACTGTAAGTAAGCCCCAACTGGAACCCCGGAGAAGCTCCTATCTTCCCCCAGCCTCCCAGGACCCCACAGGCCCCTCCCCCACTCATCTCAAGGGGTCATCTGCTTTCCAGGGATCCCCCAGAAAGGAAGATCCACCAAGGTTCACTTCAACAGGGACAAGATCCTCAGGCATATATGTGGGAACCATTGAGCCTGACCTAGGAAGTCACACACACACACACACACACACACACACACACACACCCTTCTCATCTGATGGACCCAGGGAGGGAAGTGGGGAAGTGGTCTGCCCTTATTTGAAGGCACTTTCATTAGTTAAGTCCTTAGGTGAGCATTTCACACACATTTTCTCCTGTAACCTTTTATTTTTATTATTATTATTTATTTCTCACCCAAGGATACTTTTCTATTTATCATCAGATAGAGTGGGAAGAAGGGAAGGAGGGAGGGAGGGAGAGACAGACAGAGAGCCACATTGACTGGTTGCCTCCCACACAACGCAAGGCAACCAGGGATGGGGATGAATTGCAACCAACCAGAATCAAACCCGCGACTCATTGGTCCTCAGGCCGATACTGTAACCGCTGAGCCAAACCGGCCAGGGCTCTCCTGTAACCTTTTAAACTGCTCTTTTATTGTCCTGCTTTAGAGAAAATAAACTCAGGGACGTGGCATGACATTCCCAAGGTAGTTGTATAAGAATCAGGATTTGAACTCAGTTCTGCCTAACAGCAAACACCTGGCTCTCTCCCTCATTCCTGACTCTCTCCATACTTGGCTCTCTCCCTCACCTGCGTAGCAGTTCCTACCACTTGCTTGGCTTTTCTAACTGAGCCCATCAGAGAATATTTCCTTCTGGTTCCTTGGCCTGCATGTGGGCTGGGCTTGAGGGTGCCCCAAGGCTCTGGTGTGGCTAGCTGGGAACACAGCCAAGCATGTTGCCCAACACAAGGAAGCACATACCACTAAAATAAACCCCGACATAAAGCCAGGTGCCATAAATAGGTCTTATCTTTATCACACATTTTTTGATATCACAGTGTAGAATCAAACCTAATGGAGCTGTAACATCAAAGTGCCAGGACCTCACCTGTGCCCCTGCCCTCAGCCACGGGGGAGGTCGGAGACATGTGAGATGCAGACCTCCAAGGGAAATGAAACTGGCATCCACATTAGCTCCCAGAAGAAGCAGAATGTGTTTGAGGGGAGAAGAGAGAAGTTGTGGCTCTTGCATTTTGCCTGAGTCTCTGGGAGTGGCTGTCTACCCCTCAGGCTCCATGCCCTCTCTGTGAACGGGCAGGTCTGAAGCCCCGCCGCCCACTTTCTCCTTTCATGCTGGGGTCTGAGAGAAAGGGAAAGTACACCAAGTTGTATTTGGAAAATAACTCCTTAACCCAATGAGGTTACAAATCAGTGCTCCCCAGACCAGACTGGACTTCACAGAATTGTAAAGCATGTCTTAAAGTAGGACATTGGGAGATTTCATCTAAAACTATAGAGTTGTGGTCTCTCTTAGAGAACCAGGTCCTTCAGTCATGCTGGGCTGTGTCCCCGGATGGTGACAGTGGCCTGGAGCTGAGTGGCTGATGCCCCTATAGGCCCAGTACACTGCCGCCACTACCTCCAGCCTGAGCCCCTCACTTAGGTTACTTGCCAGACCTTGTGTACTCTAAATTGAGGTGCCTCCCCAGGAATACCCATCACTTCACTGACAGTAAGTAGGGGACGAAAGAGATGTGGGGCCTGGACTCTCTGCCCACCAGTGGTCCCCTACCTCCAACCCTCTCCAGATAAGGAATTGATCAAGAGGAAAATAGAGCTTGGGCTAGGTGCCTCAGATAAGAGGCTAGGGCAAGGATGTCGAGGTTGAGGGGCTACTGAGAAAGAATGATAATAAAACATAGGGAAGAGAGAGTTTTCAGAAGAAGAGAACCATGGACAGCAGCATCATGCCTAGAAGAGGTGGGAAAAACAAGGACAAGAAGCCACTGGATCAGGAGGCCCTGTGAGCCCAGAGAGAGCCAGTTCAGTGGACAAATGGAGCAGGATTTCAGATGGCCAGATTCTTGGGTGGCAAATATTTTCACCCCCATCTCTTCAACAGAGCAGACAGGCTCAGAAATGGCAAGCAAACCACGCAAGTGCACGCAGCCAGGAGGCCCAGTGCCATCCCCCCATGCTCCATCTCTCCCTAATCTCCATCTTAGTCCCAACCCCAGGCTGCATTTTTCTAAATTCCCTAAATCACTCTCCTCTTAATCTAGGCCCCCACCCCCATGCCCAGGGCAGAGGCCAACATCAGCCGGACCCTCAGAAATGCCACCATGAAGAAATGTGAGTGCCTACAGCATGGGAGAGGTCTGGCTTAGCAAGGGCAGAGCCTGGCAAAGATAGGGCTGCCACCCCGGAAGATGGCTGCTAATCAGACCAGCTCCTGGGCTTGGGTCAGGCTTGCTGTTGAGATTTAAGGAGACTGAGGTAGGGCCTTGGGGGAAGTGGCAAGTGTGGGGGGCAGGGAGCCACTCTGCAGCTTGACACCCCTCTCAACAGGCAACCACATCTTCGTGGACACAGGGCTGCCTGACCTGGCTGTGGGGCTCATCCTTCTGGCTGGCTCCTTGGTGCTCCTGTGTACTTGCCTCATCCTCCTCGTCAAGATGCTCAACTCTCTGCTCAAGGGCCAGGTGGCCAAGGTCATTCAGAACGTTATCAACACTGGTGAGCACCAAGTACTGGGTTAGCCGGTCCCAGAATGGGCTCTTCCAGATCCCACTAACTTCTGCCACTGCCTTGCTGTGTGTTCTGGGTAAAGCCCTACCACTCTGAGCCTCAATTTCCCCATGTGAACAAAGAAGAAATTGAACTGGGTGATTTCCAAGGCCCCTGAGATGCTGACAGCCAGGAATCTGTGGCTGCCTGTGGCTGTGGTTCCATTCCAGCAGGTGGCTCCAAAGAGATTAACAGAGGCCTCTGATTGAATCAACAGATGGTCATCAATACCCCACCATGTACCAAGCATGGTGTAGTGTTGGGGAAAGAGAGGAGAGGTGCACAGACATGGATCCTGCCTTCAGGAGGCTCACAGCCTGGAGGGAAAAATGGCAATGAGAAATAAATGGGGGGTGGGGGGCGCAAATAAGCCACTGACAACACAATAGAGTATAGAAGAGGCTGCTTTTGTCCAGTGGTTAGTGGCCTCTATGCAGATGTGACATTTGAGCAAAGACCTAAAGGAGAGGGAGTCAAGATATGGCTGAAGTGCCTTCAGGGTGGAGGGAACAGCAATGCAAAGGCTTGGAGGCAGGAACCGGCTGGGTGGGTGTGTGGCACAGAAAGGTAGCCGGCATGGAGGCAGGGGCCCAGTGAGAGAGGCGGAGAGAGACAAGGAGAAGTCAGACAGATAGGAGGAGTGAATCAGGGCCACAGACTGTGTTCAGAGCCTGGATTTTATTATGATAATGGGGGCACTTGGGGGTTGAGGACAGGGGAGTGACACCATCTGATTTTCATTGTAAGCTTCATTCCGAACTTTCAAGACACTGCCTGGCACAGGCAGAGGCTGCATGACAAATGCTGGAAGAGCGCTCAGAGCAGGGAGGAGGATAAAATAAAGTGGACCTGAGGGCTGGGTACCTGAGGGCAGGCTTACATCAGCAGTGATATCTGCCCTGAAACCTGAGGGTGGACATTTAGGAGGGGGAAGGATATTCAGGCGGAGGGATCAGCCTGGGCAAAAGCATGATAGAGCCAGGCTGAGACAAGCCTTTATTCCGACATCAGAGGGCCAGTAGAAGCTATCGCAGTTGAGCAGGGGACTAACAAAGGTCCCACTTGGAAACTGGCATCCAAGACCTCCTCCTCAAGGAGAGTCCCCGCTCTGGTCCCAACCCCCTCCCCTGACCCTACTGGGATGATTTCCCCTGCAGACTTCCCCGCCCCCTTCACCTGGGCCACAGGCTATTTTGCCATGATGGTGGGCGCCAGCATGACATTCATTGTCCAGAGCAGTTCGGTGTTCACCTCAGCCATCACCCCACTCATCGGTGAGTGCCCATGATGGGGGTAGGGGGGCTGGGTGGCAGGGAAAGGGCTGAGGGGGGAGCTGGGGAGACCACATCTTCCCCTCTACTCCTGCCACCAGGCCTGGGTGTGATCAGCATTGAGCGCGCCTACCCCCTCACGCTGGGCTCCAACATTGGCACCACCACCACAGCCATCCTGGCTGCACTGGCCAGCCCCCGGGAGAAGCTGTCCAGTGCCTTCCAGGTGTGCCTGGGAGAGTAGCCTTGCCAGAGAGGGGACTGGGTGGGCACTGGGGTGTGACACTGACCCAGAGTGAGATAATGTGTAACAAATGTTTTACTGCTGACTAGGAGCCACCTGCTATGCCAGGCTCTGTGGCAACCATACGGGCAAAGTAGAGCTGATGCCACCCTTAAGACCTTGGTGTCAACCAGGATGATTTTAGAGTCACACCAATAAACAGCGGGTGGGATGTGCACTCTGGGAGGGATGCACTCAAGAGGGGACCTGGTCCAGTCTGGAGGATCAAGGATGAGTAGGGGAGACAACAGAGGGGTGGCTGTTCTAGGAGCAAAGGAGTAATGACAAGCCAGGATCTGGGGTCAGGGTACAGAGACATCAGGAGGCCAGAGTTGCTGAACCAGAAACTAGGAGGAATCTTTCAAATGCTGGGTTTGGGCAGGATCTGCTAGGGAATTCATGGGTGAGGGGTTTGTCAGGGAGATGTGGAGACTTCAGGGCAGTGGTTATTTGTCAGCTGACCCAGAAGTGTTTCAGTATTTTACTGGGGGCATGTTAACCCTAATGGTGACCTTCCTGCTACCCAGACCAGGCAGGCCCCTATTATCTGTTCCCACTGTCCTGACTCAGGAGTGGGTCTGTGCCCACCTCAGCTCCTTCACTCTCTTCTCTGCAGATCGCCCTCTGCCACTTCTTCTTCAACATCTCAGGCATCCTGCTGTGGTACCCAGTGCCCTGCATGCGCCTGCCCATTCGCATGGCCAAGACATTAGGCAAACGCACTGCCAAGTACCGCTGGTTTGCCGTCCTCTACCTTCTGCTGTGCTTTCTGTTGCTGCCCTCATTGGTGTTTGGCATCTCCATGGCAGGCTGGCGAGCCATGGTAGGTGTGGGCGCACCCTTTGCGGCCCTGCTGGCCTTCGTGGTGCTCATCAGCATCCTGCAGAGTCGCAGCCCCAGGCACCTGCCCAAGTGGCTGCAGACTTGGGATTTCCTGCCCCGATGGATGCACTCCCTACAGCCCCTGGACTGGCTCATCACCCGCGCCACCCTGTGCTGTGCCAGGCCTGAGCCCCGCTCACCCCCACTGCCCCCCAGGGTCTTCCTGGAAGAGTTGCCCCCTGCCACACCCTCTCCCCGTCTTGCCCTGCCTGCTCACCACAATGCCACCCGCCTCTAGGCTGAGGCTCAGACTGCCACTTGGAGTGCCTGGTACCCAGGGTGGAAGGGCAGAGGGGTGTGTGTCTATGTACCCTGGGTATGTTCCTGTCCTTGGGCAGGTCCTCAAAGGTGTAGGCTGTGTGACTGAGAGTTGGTTTGTGAGCCTGTGTGTGAGCCTGCACATGTGTACACATGGTGCACCTGTGAGGGCTCTATGCAGGCTGCAGGGTCCTGGGTATGACTTCCTATCCTTTGCCCATTGTTTGGAGGCTTGTGCTTGTGTCCACACAACTCCACCGGGGCTGACTTGCATCTGTTTGCTCAGGCATAGATGCGGTCAGAACCAGAGTCACTGGCCAAATTCTCACCCCCTCCCTGCCACTTTCCTTCCTCCATAATACCAGTCTCCTCATCCTCACCCAGCTTTCTGCATCACAGCTACAACCCCATTTCCCAACAGTGCCTGATTAAAAATTTAAAAAAAGAAGGAATTAAACTTTCATTAAGCATTTGAAAATCTGTTTGCTCTCATTTTGGGGGAGAGACCATGGTTTGGGATTCAGCAGCACTATCTCCCCTTTCAAAGACAGCCCACTGTGCCCTGGAAGAGCCAGCCTGTAAATTCACCCCCAATAATCCTCCTCATTAGAGTCCAATCCACAGCTTAGACTCCCTGAAAGTCCACCAGGCTTGGGGGCCACCACCAAGGCAAATGTTAGCAGGGCTCTCTGCGCCTCCACCCCAGCCCACCAGGCTGACCTCCTCTGGGTTCTCCTGGTCCCTGGATTCACCTACCTCACTAACTCCTTCCCTCCCTCCCTCTTTCTGGCATAAGATCAGTTCTCCACAAAACAAGTGACAGGTGGGGCTTATCAAGGCCCCTGGCTCAAAAGGTTCCAGATGGACAAGAGAAGGCCTGCCCTGTGTTCCAGCATACAGGGGGCAGGGACCAGCCACCCTCCCTCCTCCTACCTTTGTTCATCTTTGACAATAAACCATGCTTCATTTAAACCCACTCAAGTTTTCAGTTCCTCTCCTCCATAGCCTTCCCCCAACCCTATCTAAGGCCTACAAGGGGAGGGAAGGGTGAAGGAGTGGGAGGTGCCAAAGTTCCTCCCTCTAGTCCAGGGACATATCTGGAGCCTTTGGACCCCAAGGGGACAGGAAGTCTGTAGGTCCCAGACTCAGACCCAGTTGTGATGCTCTTGAACATATTCCTCCACCCCACCCCTCTCTGAGGTATGTGGGGGAGATGCAAGGGCCTGGAGCCCCAGAGATGCTCCCCAAGCTACCAGCCACACTCTGTCACCCACTCACAACCCCTGCTAGTGCTCCCTCCTGCCAAGTGGAGGGGGTCAAAAGTACACTGACCTCCAACCTGAGGGGAGGAGAGTAGGAAGGTGAGGAGGAAACTCCCTTATGATTCATCCTACACAGCTGTGGAGAACGTTTTGCGAGAAAGAATACTCGGGGCTGAGCTAGAAGGTTTGAGAAGGCTGCTCCCTGGGACTTTTGCTCAACTTTGGTGTCCCTAGGACCCTGGGAAGTCTTCAAGGCCCCAGACCCCTGATTCTGGCCTGGGGAGTCAGGTCAGAGACTTCTGCAGGGCACTCATGGGAGGGCCGTCTAGGGCACAGGAGAGGGTGGGAAGCCTCTGGACTCATAATCCCAAACCCACCAGGTAACCTTTCTGCAAGGACCTTCTAGGAAACCGTGACCTCTTCAGTACACCCCCACCCCCCACCACCTTCGCCAACGCAACCGGAGAATGTCTGTTATGCCCAGGTCTGACTTTATTTTTGGCTCCGCTGCCACCTGGCTATTCTGCTAAGTGCCTTGAGTGCGCAGCCAGTGGATCAGCTCATGCACGGTCTTGTTGAGGATGCCCCCATGCACGCCCCGTCGGCCCATAAGCACGAGAAGCGCGCGTGGCGTGTGGCCCACGCAGATGGCGCGCCCATCCAGCCCCCTGGTGCGTGCGTCCAGCACTCCATCGCCCTCGGCCAGCAGATGGTCTCTGATGACGCAGCAGCGGCGGCCTGCCACGCTTAGGCCTGTCTGCAGAAAGGTGCACCGGTCCAGCCCCGTGAGCACACCCACCTCTTGCGGTGAGATGGCTGCCAGCAGGCCCCCGGGCCGCGATGCCCACACGCAGCGATTGTCCGAGTGGCCCACAATGGCTACATCATCAATGCGCTGGTCCCGCAGCACCGCACTGATATAGCCTTTCCACTCGCCCATTCTGTCTCAGAGTATGACCCTCGCCTTGCACTTTCCAGGGATGCCGGCTGCTCCCGCCTAAAATGCCCAGGGCACTGTGACGGATGTGAGGGCGATGTTGTGACGTTGAGGCAGGCTGGAGAATGGGGGCGGGGTTGTATCTTACACCTGGTGCAGTTCAAGTTTCCTTCAGTTTAGCCTGAAGGAAAAGATCGCTTGAGAGTGAAAATAATCCTTGAAAACCAATTTAGATGGTCCATTAAGCACAATACACATGGGTTTAAAAACAAAAAGATGCCAGCCCTGGTCAGTGTGGCTCACACCAAAGAGTTGCGGGTTTGATAACCGGTCAAGGGCACCACCTGGGTTGCAAGTTCAATCCTGAGCCCTGGTTGGGGTCATGTGGGAGGCAACCAGTTGATGTGTCTCTCACATTGATGTCTCCCTCCCTCTGTCTCTCTCTCTCCCTCCCCCCCCTTCTCTCTCTCTCAAAATCAGTGGAAAAAATATCCTCAGGTGAGGACCAAAATAGAAAAAATAAAGATGTCATGTCTAGACAGTCGGACCTCTACCCTGGTCCCCAGAACTGCCTGGAAAGCTATTAAACAGATTGCTGGGCCCCAACTCAGAGTTTCTGATTCAGTAGTATGGTGTGTACCCTGCAAATATGCATTTCTAGCAAGTCCCCTGGCACTGCAGTTGCTGCTGGTCTGAGGAGCAGACTTTGAGATCCACTGCCCTGTCTGTACAGGTTGGGAGGAGGTGAGGGACTTTCATGTCAGTCGCCAGCCTAAGTCCACACCAGTTTTAAGGTTAAGCATTTCTAAACATGGTTCTCAACCCCAGCTGCACATGTAATCACCTGGAGAAAGTTTAAAACATACCACTACCCATGCCCCATCGCTAGAGATATGTGATTTAATTGATCTTAGGTAGATCTTGTGCATAGGTTGAGAACTTCTCCATAAACTTAAAATATTAATGTTTCACACGAGAAACAATATGTGGAATCACTCTTCACAGGTCTCAGTCCACGCGGCTCAGACATGAATCTGAATCTTGCATAAGCTCTCAATAGATCTGTTCTCTGAGAGCTGTGGAGAAGCTTTGCACTGGTTTACTGTCTCAGCATTTCCCAGTGGGACCCTTAAAGAGCTGTGCCTCTCAAGCATTTCCAAAAGCACTTTCTGTTTACGCTATTCCCAGCACCGGGCTGGCAGCGCTGGAATACAATCCTTTACGTGCAGGATCGTGTCCAGCCATCCTCCCATTCCAGAATCACCGAGGAGGAAAAGATGAGTTCCTGGGCGGTCAGGAATCGGTGTGCTGCCGGATCCAAGTCAAGTAGTTGGCCACAGGCGTGTACACACCCGGCTTGTTGCAGGCGCCACAACCCAAGCCCCAGCTGACGATGACTCACAGGATGAGCTGGAGCTCTTCAGCATCACCCTCACACACCAGCGGAGCCCCGAAGTCACTCTAGGTCGAAGATACTCGGCTCAGCACCCTTGGCCTGGGGTCTGCACTTGACGGAGTCGGGGTAGGGCGCGAAGGGGTCCCAAGGGCTCACCTGGCACGCATCGGTGCCACCCTCGGAGAAACTAGCGCAGAGCATGCCGGGGACGAAGGCGGTGCAGTGCATATGCTGGGCGGAGCAGCTCTCCCTAGGGATAAGAGGCACGTGCGCCTTCAGCCGAAAGCTGAAATATTCCTCTGCCCCTGCTAACCAAGAACATTTTCATCCCACCCCTCCGGACTCCGCTAGCCGCCTGGACCGTGGAACTGGCTGAGCCTGGCTCTTCCTGACACACTGATCGATCACGCGCCAGATCTCGCCCCGAGCCAGTGGTGGAGGGAGTTGCCGGTAACCCTATTTTTTAGACCGGAGAACTGAGGACCGAGACTATCGGGAGGTGAATGGGCGGGGCGAAGCAGGGCTGCTTTGGAAGTCCACTTCCTTCCCAGACAGTACCTCAGAACCTTAGCTACCCACCCTGTTCGAGCGAGTGTCCTAGTTAGCCTTGCAGCCCAGTGCCCAGTGGGAACCAAGAGAAAGTGTAATTTTCCCCGTACCCCTCAGAAGTTTGGGGGCCCCAACAGTGAATCCCAGGCCCTGGGAGGGGCTGCTGCAGAGACAAGGGCTCTGCACATTCTCACAAGCCACCAGGTCAGCGCCTCCTGTCCATAGTGTTGCCAAAGCTACAGGTTTATCTTGCCTACCCCGGTGACCAGAGGTCTTCCTCCAGCGGTTCTCCTGCCCTCGAATTGATGGCCCCGGCAGACTACCTCGCAGAGAGCGGCCTTGGGTTCGACAGACTGTGCAGCGCTGCTCCGAAGGCAAACGGGTCCAACGGAAGGCGAAGGGCGCGCGCAGCTGCGGTCCTTGCTTTCTTGCAGACGCAGCAGCGCTAACCTGGGCGGGGAAGAGCGTGAGGCCCGTACGCTGGCCTCGGAGCCCTCACAATTTCCCTGATCCCCGAGGGGCGTCCCCACGCACCCAGGTCGTGCTGGTAGGTAATGGGTGAAAAGGCCTCGTCTGGCTCTGTGCACAGCTTTGGTTATGGCGATCCTGGCCCAGCACCACAGTCAGCTCCTCGGGTGCCGGCCTGCTGGCAGGGTAGGGAGAGGATGCTCACTCAGAACCGGCCACCGGCGGCCTGAAGAAGCCCTCTGTTCCTGATCCCCTTACTGGGTTTAAGCTTCCTTCTGGGAAGCTCTGGAGGAGAAAGGAGAAAGATGGGGCATGAGTTTGAGTGTTGCGTGGGCACAGAGGAAAGGAGCTGAGTCTGAGCTGGCGCTGGGCAGGTGGTACTAGCCGAATCTGCAGGCATGAGCTGCGGTCAGCATCCAGCAAGGGGCGATGAGGTTGCCGGCACAGAAATTGTGGCCCCAGTACAGTGCGGACGATGTGGGGGTGCGCGCCGGGCAGCGCCACTAGTCCCCCGACAACGCAGCTCAGTGAGGACAGCGGTTTCCCCAGGCCCAGTCATGGTCAAGAGAGTCTGCTGCTCGGGCATTGCGTGCGAGGCTGAAGACAGGGAAACCTACTAGTGACTGGAACGAAGCTCGCCCCGAGCCCTCTCTGCTTGGTCTTCCTGCCCCTTCCCAGCTACCTGTGGTCGGTGGAGGATTGAGGCGGGGTCTGGGTCGTGATCTGAGGCTACTGCAATGCTGAAAGCGAGGGCAAGGGAAGGCCCTGGCACCCAGGGAGTCCCCGGGGTTGAAACGGGAACTGGGACATTGTTGGAGTGGTTGGGGCTTGGCACCACCCTAGGCTGCAATATTCCCAGTGCAGCCAGTCGCTGCTCCATATGAAACACGGGTGGATGGCATTGTCCAGGTTCCTGTAACCACAGGAGAGGGCACTGTTAGAGCTTGGGGGAGCTCTAGAGGGCCCAGGAGAGGAAGGGGACACCCTGCCCTGTTCCACTCGGAGTACTGGTAGAAGGCATGGTCACCCTGTCCCCAATTCAGTGTTGCTTGCAGTCAGATTCCAGCAAGTGACCTCCGAGGCCCACGGCTAACACCGTGCACCCGAGAGCGTGATCCCAGTGGCCCCTGGGTAACTGAACCCACAGTGGTTTTAGCAGCTGGTCTCTGGGGAGAGAGGAGGCTCCCTGCAGCCAGGTGTCGATATGTTATGGGCTTCCACCACTGCTTTTTTTTTTTTTTTTTTTAATCCTCACCTGAGGACACTTCCATTTTTTGCACAGACAGAGTGGGAGGGAGAGAGAGGAAGGGAGAGAGAGTGAGAAACATCGACGTAAGGGGACACATCGAGTGGCTGCCACCCGCACGACCAACCAGGGCCGGGGACAAACTGCAACCGAAGTACGTGCCCTTAGCGGGAACCGAACCCGGGTCTCTCCGGACCGCAGGCCGACGCTCTAACCGCTGAGCCAAACTGGCCAGGGCTCCACCACTGCTTTAAGCCCCTCTCTAACCCTCTCTGTCCCAAAGCACTCCCCACGTGGAGGCGGAGCTTCTGCCTTCCGCTATTCCAAGACTCACAAACCTCCCGACAACTGCGCAGGTGGTGGCCCTCCACCTTTAGGCAGCTCCCCAAGGAGGCACGGGTTCTTGGAGTTGTTAGGGCAGACTGAGAAGGAGCCTACACCATCTGGCTTTTGGCCAGCTTCAACTGCCTCCTCCCGACCTTTGACCCTGGGCCCTCCTCCCAGCCAGCTCCCAACTGGAAGATTATGGATTATGAATGACTTTTTCTTTTGCATTTTTGTAGTTTCTAAAGTTTTGAGAATACAAATAAATTGCTATTATAATTTTTATAATTCACATTGATGATGTGAAGTATTTTCTTTTTTAAAAAATATGTTCATATTGATTTTTTAGAGAGATAGAAACATCAATGTGAGAGAGAAACATTGATCAGTTGCTTCCTACATGCCCCTCACTGGGGATCGAGTCTGCAACCCAGGCATGAGCCCTGACCTGGAATCCAACCAGGACCTCTCAGTCCATGGGACAACACTCAATCCACTGAGCCACACTGGCAGGGTATAATTTTAAAAAATAGTTTAGTCAAGCCTCATAACTCATAGATTCTGTATTTGTAAATTTGCCTTCTTGGTAAAATTTATTTGTAAACCCCAAATCAATTCTACAGGGACTTTCACAGTCATTCACAGACATGCACAGGGTGGTGAAAATTTGAGTCTCTAGAAGCCAGAAGTATACATTCCCAGCTGAGGTCAAACCAGGTGATACTGCTGCTTGTTTCAACGCTCTTGCTGTAAACAAGTGTGCTTTTCACAGTCTATTTAGTGCCACATTTCCCCCATTTTGTGCTTTTGCTGTTGAAAATGGCCCCCAGAGTGCCGAAGTGCTTTGTTCCATTGTGCAAGTGGGCTGTGATGTGCTTTATGGGGAATACATGTATCTTCAATAAGTTTCATCCAGGCATGAATTTCAGGGCCACTGCCTGTGAGTTCAATGTTAATGAATCGACAATACATATTAAGCAAGGTGTCTTTAAACAGAATCACACATATAACAAGGTTATATATTAGCAGTTGATGAAAACCTTGTGACCAGTGGTTCATAGGAACCCAACTCTATATTTCCTCTAGGAGGAATGGTTCAGTATTTGCTAATTCAGTGTTCACAGTGACAAGAATTGGCTGTATCTGTTTCAGAGGAACATTGTGAAGTTTAAATGAGATAGTGCCTATAAAACGTTTAGCACAGTCTGACACATAGTACCTGCTCAATACGCATTAATTGCTATTTTGTTGTTAAAGGCACAGTGGCACTTGCTGAAGGCCAAACAAGCGACAGGACAGTAAAGGGAGAGAGAGGGGTCTGAGATGGACTTTTAAGAGGCAAATGGGATGAGCAGAGAGGAGCATCTTAAGTAGGTGATTAGGCAAGGACAGAACACTGGGCTGGATCAGGCAAGAAGGCAGAGAGCAGTTCGGCTGGGTGTGGAGTGATAAGAGGACGCTGAGGCAATTAAGGTTGTATGTGATAGGCCTCAGTGCCATGCTAAGGGGCTGGGCCTGACCCCACAAGGCCAGGCTCACCAGGGCAGGAGCCATCAATTCACAGCTCTAGGTGACTATTTAGTACCTAGAAGAATGAAGGCAATGGGAGAAGAGAGATGATACACAGCCCCACTTAAAAGGGAGCTTATTTAGAAAAGTAATATACTTTAAGCATTGACCTTGCACCTGACAATGAACTGAGCACTTCAACATGGATTTATGACTCATTTCTCCTTCCCAACAATCCTAAGATGTTTACTATAACCCTGGTTTTACAGATGAGGGAATTTAAGTTTGGAGAGGTCAAGTCACTTGCTCAGAGGCATTTGGGCTCCAGACATCGGCTTTTGATCCTTCTTTGCCCATCAAGGACTTTAGCCTCTGTGTGGCATGACTGATGCCTGTGAGATGCATCAAAGAAAGGAAAAGAATGAGGGAGGCTGGGGAAACAGGAAAGCTGGCAGATGCTGGACTGGGCATTCATATACAGCCCAAACCCTACCCCCAAGAAGCATACGTCTCACCAGCAATCTGGGCCTCCAGCATCCACCAGCATAGACCTGCCACACAGCAGGCACTCAGGTCTAAATGCCAGCCAGATAACACTGGGGATGATAATGATGGTTGTGTCCAGGATCCTGTCCCTCACTCCAAGGACCTGAGATTGACCATTGGCACACTCCACCCAAGGGTATCATAAGAGGCAGAGCCAGGCTACTTACCCACTGTGTGTTCTTCTGCTATGTGCTTATGTACCTTGGGGTCTTTCCAAGGTGGAGTCTATAGGAGGAGAGAAGAGGTTAGGAAAATTTCCCAGAGGTCATAGCCTGCCTCTGATCCATGCTAGTCCCCAGCTTCTTCTCACAGCTCAGAAATGCAGAGATTTTCTCACAAGACCTGGACCCCTTCTTCCATCTCTCTCCTCAAGGAACCTCTCCTCCAGAAATTCAGGTTATGTCCTCATATCCATAGGCTCTGGTGTCTCCTCCACCTGGGCCTTCTGGGCTGACCTCACCTTTCCACACAGGCCTTCCCATCACCTGGACCAAGAGGTCACAGGGAGCGGCCAAAGTTGTGATGGGGACCCCCAGGGCCATCCCAGCACAATTCTTCTGGCTCCCACAGCCCTCACTAAAAGCGCTAACTCCAGGCTCGCTAGCAGGGGCCCCAGAAGCAGCAGAGCCCTCGTGGTGCCTATCTGTTGGTCCAACCACCTGCCCTGGAGTCCAGGTCAATAGAGTTGGCCAAAGGTCTCTGAAGCCTGGGAAGTGAAGATTGGTTGAGCTGCCCTTCTAGGCCCGGAGGGGCACAGGCTTTTTGTGGAAAGCCAAGGGCAGACAGTTGGCAGCTGGGGGATCGGGATAGAATGATGAGCTGGGTTCCTTCTCTCTTTCCCAGACAGTGAGACTGGAAGCAGAAAGAGAGACTTCTTGTGTTCTGGGTCCCATTGGGGATGATGTTAAGGAGATCCAAGAGAAGCTCTCTACTATAGGGATCCTACAGCCCTTTGGGAAGTGTATTTACCTTCTATTGCTTCCTAAACTGAACCATAAACTTCACAACTGAAAACAATATCAATTTATTCGTTCACAAATTTGTAGGTTGAAAGTCTGGCACTATGTGACTAGTTTTTCTGCTCAGGTTTTCAAAAAGTGAGACCAAGGCTGAGTTCTCTGGAGGCTCTGGGGGAAAATTCACTTCCAAGATATTCAGATTGTTGGTAGAATTCAATTTCTTGCATTTGTAAAACTGAGGTCACGATTTCTTTGCAGGCTGTAAGCCAGGAACCACTCTTAGCTCCTAGAACCCGCCTGGATTTCTGGCCATACGGCCCCTCCATCTTTTAAGCCAGTAGCAGAGTCTCCCCCTTGTAGACTCTCTTTCATGCATTGAATCTCCTTTACCAGGAAGAACATTGTTCTTTTTAAGGACTTACCTAATTAGGTTGGGCTCACCAAGTATAACCTCCCTGTCTTTTATTTATTTGTTTGTTTGTTTGTTTATTTATTTATTATTTTTATCCTCACCCGAGGACATTTTTGCATTTACCTTCAGATAGAACAGGAGGAAGAGAGGGAGAAAGAGAGAGAGAGAAACATCGATGTGAGAGAGACACATCAGGTGGCTGCCACCTAACTGGAGCCACCTGAGGGACAAATTGAAACTGGGGTACGTGCCCTTAGAAGGAACCGAACCCAGGACTCTCCCATCCACAGGCCGACGCTCTAACCGCTAAGCCAAACTCACCAGAGCTATTTATTTATTTTTTATTAATTTATTTTTGTTACAGAGGTATCTCCTCTTTCCCCCATTGATACCCTCTTCCCAATCCTCCCTCCCCCCCAGCATTGTTGTCTATGTCCATTGGGTATGCATATGTGAATATAAGTTCTTTGGTTTATCTCTTTCCTCCCCACTGTCCCCCTCCTCTGAGGTTTGTCAGTCTGAACCCTACTTAGATATCTCTGGGTCTGTTTTTGTATTTTGTTCATTATATGTCACAAAAAAGTGAGATCATGTGACATTTTTCTTTCTCTGACTGGCTTATTTCACTTAACATAATACTCTCCAGGTCCCTCCATGTCATCTCAAAAGATAAGAGATCTTTCCTTCTTACAGCTGCATAGTGTTCCATTGTGTAAATGTATCACAGCTTTTTTATCCACTCATCTATTGATGGACACTTGGGCTGTTTCCAGTAACCTCCCTATCTTGAAGTCAACTGATCTGGGACCTTAAT